TGCAGCACATTGAACCCGTGCTGAGTGGGATTTTTACTGGGTAATTCAGACGCCAGAATCTCCTAGTGTGTGTGGTTACAGTAAGTTTGTGCAATCTTCTAGTCTAGTCTCTGGTGCATTTGTAATATTCTCAGAGGGAGTGCCTAGAAAGTCCAAGGCTCATTTCTTTTGCTTGACCCAAAGCCGACTGCATGCGTGGGATAGAACATTCTTTGCTTTCTGGAAGAGGGGTGTGGCGGCAGTCTTGAGCATTATCAGATGTCTGGCGACATCTCTTAATTAGATGCCAGTGACAACCAAAAATATCTTCAGATATTGCTAAATGGCCCTCAGGGGGTGGGATGCAGGGGGCAGAATCACTGCAGATGACATTTATGATCTGTGATGCCATAGGGGGATAAGTTAACGGGCCAGAGCATAAGAACAGCCAGAAGTAACTATGAAGCAGTGTGGAAATGTACCTGCGTACAAGCAAATAAATACAAATTGAAAGTACAGAAGGGGTTTCAAAAAGGAAAGCACATCAGCATTCCATCATGTATAGGGGCAGGAGCTCATGAGGCCCCACCCCTCCCTGAGGAGGTTTGGGCAGTTAGTGCTTGGGGCAGGGGCATAGGAGGGTGGAGGGAAGAGTCATGTTCCTGATGGGTATAGCCACTGATAAGTTGCGCTTGTTTAAGTGAGTCCTTCCCATGCACATGCTCACAACCTAATTAAATGCAGTGGGCCCCAAACCAAATAATAATAATATGAAGCTATTAAAGAAGGAGGAGGACTTGATGGAAGAGAGGAGATAAGAGAGGATAATGGGGCGTGGAATGTCATCAAAGTATGGGGCGTGTGTGTGTCTGTGTGACATGTGAAAAAAATTTAAAACAAAGGCCAGAACTGTGCTGCTTTTTCAGTAGGTAATTCCTTTGTCTCCCTCGCTTTTATCACAGTGAAACTCGGCTATAGCTCCAGCACATTTCCTCACTAAGTGAAAATAATCCATGCAAGCGATTGCATAGATGCTGATGGGCATCAAGATTCAGTCCTTGTCAAAAGAGAGGACATGAAGGTTTTCTCTAAATTCCATGATGTATTTATTTAGTGAAAAATGCTTCATCGTAGAATGACAGGTGACAGAGCGTGTTGTGAGATGGGGCATGTTGTAAGATGAGGGTGGCTTTGGCTGGGGCTGTAGAGGGTCCTGGATACCAGACAAGGCTTCTTGTCCTGAGGCTTAGCCAGGGAGAGGTTAGAGAATATTATTCCTAAAATTCCTCATAGATCGAGAATTTTATCAACCTGTATTTGACATAGTTTCTCTAGAAAAAAATGATATTCAGGACTGGAGATGGCTCAGCATTTAAGAGCACTGGCTGCTCTTGCAGAGGACCTGGGTTCAGTTACCAGCACCCACATGGTGGCCACCAACCATAACTCGAGTTCCAGGGGATCTGATACCCTTTTCTATCTCTGTAGGCATTGTGCCACATAGGTGCACTTACACACATGCAGACAATACACTCAAACTCATAAAATAAAAATAATAAATAAAATATTTTTTAAAAGAAAAAGATGACTTTTTTGTTTGTAAAGATGGGTGTTTACAATCTGAGACTTAATTAGTACCACCACTTCTGTGTGTGTGTGCGTGCGTGTGTGTGTGTGCGTGCGTGCGTGTGTGTATGTGTGTGTGTGTGTGTGGGTGTGTGTGTGTGTGTGTGTGTGTGTGTGGAGAGAGAGAGAGAGAGAGAGAGAGGGAGAGGGAGAGAGAGAGAAATGGGATAATTTGGCACATAGAAACTTTCCCTCCCTGAAGGATTTTGTAGCTAGCACAGGGCCTGCCGCAAGCTGTTGGCAGCTTTGCTGGGCAGTTTTGTGGTTGTTCTGGTCACTCTTACTGTCTAATCTTTATACCCAAACTCTAGGTGCCCCCGGAGGGTTGCCCTGGCCAGCCAGCTGCCTGTGTTTCAATTTCCTTCTGCACCCCAAGCTTTGTTTCCTGTGTGGGGTTGCTGACGGTATTTGTCCAAATGTTAGTCTCTTCCACCACAAACCCAACGACCCTTCTTTTCTGAGCTGATTGTGGGTTTGGAAGTTTGAGTCAAATCATGCTACAGAATAATTTCGGTGCTTGCACAGTGAGTGGGGCAGTCAGCATTTCCTGTTTTCATTCATGTTGTAGCTGCAAGAGCTATAACCAAAGAAGAGCTTGCCAAGGCAAACAGTTGACTGTGGCTTGTGCAAACATTTCATTGCAGCCTTATTAAACAGGCAACTTTCTGAAATCTACATTCCATGCTTTTCAGGAAAGCCAAGTCATGTAAGTGGACTTGTTTCATGATATAAGCACATGTCTGTTAAATTCAACATTAAATGATTCTTGAGCATGGATCTGTTTTCAAATTTATTAGGGACGGCAAATAACGTAAGGGAATAGATTGTTTATTTTAGGTCACTAGGTAAACCTGAACTTCAAGATTTTATTATTGGGAGTCCCAGGAATCCCCTAAATGGAAACTGATCGTCCCCTCTACAGTCTAAGCTTCTTAACAAAGCCCTGGAGCTCTAAGGGGGAAAGTGATGCCCAGGCTGGAGAGAAGGCTCAGGGGTTAAGAGCACTGGCTGCTCTTGCAGAGGAACTATGGGTTCGCAAGAATTGTCCCAACTCCAGTGTAAAAAAAGGAACTTTAAAGGAATCCTTTAAATTTTTCTGTAATACATTTATTCAAAGAAAAATTAATAAAATCAGGGATGGGGGAAAAGGACGAGGCAAGGGAAGGGGAAATGAATAAGAGCAAAGTATAATGAATGGCATTTGTTTGAAGACACCATGATGAAACCCAGTCCTTCATACACTGACCTAAAAATTAACTTTAAAAAAACCTTACGAGACCAGCCTGGTCTACACCATGAGTTCCAGGCCTGCTGGAGCTACAGGGAGACCCTGTCTCAAAAAGGCCAAAAAGAAAAAGAAAAAAAGAAACCTTACTAAAATGACTTATCAAATGCGTATCAGCAGTGATCATAAAAATGTTTTACGTCCCTTGGCCCCATCACCTCACCCTTGGGAATTTATTCCAAGAATATAATAAGAAAGAGATTAAAGCTCATATGCACAGATATTTTCAATGTAGCATTGTGTATACTGGAAATTACCCAAATGTCCAATAATGGAACAATTTCATAAATTTTGGCACATCAATTTAACAAAAATACAAGCTGCTGATTTTATAATCATAAATTTTAAAAGTTTGTAATATAGAAATAAGTGATAATTTTAAATTAAAGGAGACTATAAAAATTCTATGTGTTCTCTAAAAATTAGGTACATGCGGGGCTAGCAAGATGGCTCAGCAGTTAAGAGCGTGGGCTATTCTTGCAGAGGACCCAGGTTTGGTTCCCAGCACTCACATGGCAGCTAACAATCATCCTTAACTCCAGTTCCAAGGGATCTGACACCCTCTTCTGACTTCTGTCAGCATTGCATACATGTGGTGCACTTACATACATGCAGGCAAAACACTCATACACATAAAATAAATCAAAATATTTTCATTAGGTACGTGAAAAACTAAAAGAAGCAGTAAGAATTAGGTGTCTGTAGAGTTTAAAATACAAGTGAAGTTTTTACTTTTATTCAGTTCTTGTTACTGTATTTTTTGGTTGTGCTGAGGATTTGAACTCGAGAATTCTCTCATGCTAAGCTACCGAGCTACAACTCCAGTCCTTAAACATTTATTTATACCATAGTGCAGATTTTTCCTTCCATGTCTGTCTGTGCTGTTGATTTTGGCCTCCCTTAGTCCCACTATTGGTAGATGGTGCATCTTCCAAAAGTATTGCATGTGGGGATTTTAGCATCAGCATTATTCTTCCCAAATTATAACAGACAATCATTTCACATGAGTGTCCTGTTAAGATGCTGGGTCTGGTTGAGTGGGTTTCATGGGACCAAGATTGCACCTCGTTAACAAACTTCTGGGTGATGCTGCTGCTCTGGGTCCGTAGATCACATACCGCCCTGGAGCCCTCCCTGGGGTGGAAGACTGGCCCAGTATCTCACATGGTTTTGGAAAACGATGCTTGTGTTCAGTCTGCCGCCTCCATGAATGCCATAGGGACATATATGAGTATACAGGTACACATGCACAGGCTACAAGAAGACATTGGGTGCCCTGCCCCATCACTCTCCACCTCATCCCTTTGAGATGGGGGTCTCTCACTGAACCTGGAGCTAGAGTGGTGGCCAGAAAGCCAGCAATCCTCCTGTCTCTACCCCCACAGTGCTGGGGTCACAGGTGCATGTGGCCACACCCATATTTTACATGGATGCTGACTGGGGATATGAACTTAGTTCTACATGCTTATACAGCAACTCTTGCCCACTGAGCCTTCTCTCTCCAGCCCCCACAGTACCATTTCTATAACCTGGGGAAGGATCATTAGAAATGAATATCTCTGTGATCCTGAAACTAAGGTGCTCTCTTCCATCATGTCTCATAATCCTTAAACTGTTCCACTAACTTCAATTTTGCCCATCAACAGAAATAATCAAGTGGCACTAAAACAAAAACAAATAACATTATTATGTAAATAATGTATTTTAAATATATTATAAAGAGTAAGAAAAGGTCTTATATGAAAATCGAGCTGTCATGGCCCTTTGATAAAATTTGGAACCTGACTACAAAGTTGAAGGTCCTATGTCTGTTAAGAAAAGCTTTGGTTTGAGTTATAGTACCGAGAAGAAAGCTCTTGGCTTTACAGTAAATCTTTGTGGCCTGGTTGGGTATAACAGGGTAGAGAGCTACCTTGTATAATGAAGTTGAGCATCTTCCATAGCTTGGGAAAGTCAGTTTACCTTTGCATAGAAATACTGTGGCATGAAGTGGCATCAATGTGATGAGGAACGGGAGCGATTGTGTGAGCTAGAATCATCCTCAGTAATTGCCAAAACCTGCTGCTGTTCTCAGAGGATGAGCATGCATTTCCTACTTGTTTCTCCACAGTGACTGAGGCTGGCTTTGGGGCTGATATTGGAATGGAGAAATTCTTCAACATCAAATGCCGAGCTTCTGGCCTGGTGCCTAACGTGGTTGTGCTTGTGGCCACCGTGCGAGCTCTGAAGATGCATGGAGGTGGACCAAATGTAAGTTCCCATGTTTTTCCCTAGTTAAAAAAATTTAAAAACCTGAGGCTGCAAAGATGGCTCAGAGGTTAAAAACACTTGCTATTCTTGAAGAAGATCTGGATTTGGGTCCCACCAAACACACAGCAGCTCATAACCACCAGTGCCCTCTTCTGACCTCCATGGGCACCTGTACACACATGGTACACATACAGACAAGCAGGCACACATACATACACATAAACAACAAATATTTGTTTTAGAAAAGCCATATGTGATGGCTCACACCTGTTATCCTAGCACTCAAGAGACGGAGGCAGAAGGATTGCCATAAGTTCTAGACCAGCCTGGGCTCACAGTGGAACCTGTCTTTAAAAAAAAAAAAAAGAGTTAACTAAGACACAATATAATTTTTTAACTATTTTATTATATTATTTTTATTTTATGTGTGCGTGTATTGCCTGCATGTAGGTAAGTGCACCTGTGTCATGCGGTGCCCACAGAGGATGGAAGAGGCTGTCAGATCCCTAGAACTGGAGTTACAGACAGTTGCTAGCTGCCATGTGGGTGCTGGGATTCGAACCCAGGTCTTCCGCAAGAACAACTAGTATTCTTAACTGCTGAGCCATCTCTCCATCCTCTCTCTTGTCTTCTCTTGTTGCTGTCTACTGAGCACTGCCTTATGATCTGTAATTCCAACTTGGCCATTGGCAATGTTTTGAAAACCCCTGTTTCTCTACCCCAGCCCGATACAAACTCTGCATCTATCTGAATCTCTATCTGATAGCTATATTAGTTGCTTTTCATAGTACTCTGAAAAAGTACATGAAAAAAGCAATTTATGATGATTTATTTTGGCTTATGGTTCAGAGGTCCATCATGGTGGGGAACGTGTAGTGAGTGATCTCTCTGTGGTAGCAGGAGGCTGTTTGTTCACATATCAGAAAGCAAAAGGACAAATCCAGCACTCAGCAGGCTGTCTGCCTTTTTCCTTTCTATTCATTCTTCGAACCCAGGTCTTCCGCAAGAACAACTAGTGTTCTTAACCCCTGAGCCATCTCTCCAGCCCCAACACAATATAATTTAGCATTTAAGACATTTATATGTGCTGGATACGTGCAGTTTTCTTTAGTGTCTCCTTTCTGAAGCCTGTCTTCACAGATGACCACCACAGAGCTCTGTTCATTCAGCTAAGCTACTTGCAATGCCCACACAACTTCTAAGCAGTATTTCCATATGAAAAGGAAGGTCGTAGACCCAAGATGCACAGGCCAGAATTCTGTAACCACGTGAGTGGGCAGGGAGGCTAGAAGCTCTGGTTCCTCCATGACGAACACTAGGTTTGGCTGGATGCTTGGTGGCTGGAGTTTTCTGTGCTTCAGAAGATGCTTTTTTGGTTCACTGATGTTATAGCTCGTCAGGTTTTACCTAGAGCCCCTCTCCTGTGTCTGCTCTCTGTGACTTGGCCTCTCAGAGCACTGCATGGCTTCTGGGAAGCTCTGCCTAGGAAATACAATTCTGCTTTGATATCTTTAAAGACTTTTGATATCTATCTTTAAATTGTGCATATGGGGGGAAACGTGTTAGGTTTTTTGATTGTTTTCCATTATAGAAATTTCCAAGTGGAGAAAACATTTATTTCGATCTTCCTTATCATTATTAGATGTTATCATTACATCGTATTGATTTACAAGAAAAACTGCTAAACCTACTTTGCATGGTTTTTTTTTTTTTTTTTTTTTTTTTTTTTGGTTCCTTGGTTTGGTTTGCTTGCTTGCTTTTTGAGGGAGGGTCTCACTTTGTTGACCTGGCTGGCCTGGCTCTCTCTATGTAGGCCAAGCAGGCCTTGAGCTCACAGAGATCTGCCTGCCTCTCCCTCCCATGTGCTGAGATTAAAGGTGTGTCCCACCACACCCAGTCAGACCTAGTTTCTTAATTACAACGCTGTGTATACAAAAAGCAAGGAAACAATAGGTTTGCAACTCAGAATCAATACTGTTTGGTGCTCTTAGGAATTCTTTGTCCTAGGGAGAAAGGCATGACTTTTAGCCCTTTTTATAGCCAAGGATGCTAGGGTTTGGTGGGTTTGTGAACTATGGCCAGGAGAGAGTCAAATCTGAAGCCAAGGATGTCAGCCCAACCCCTACTCTGCCCACCACTCAGAGTTAGGTACTAGATAAATAGTGACAATGTTCTGAACCCCAAGACTGCTCATAATATCAGAGACATCAGCACTTCATTTTTACCTCGTTTCATAATCAGCCCCAATGTAAAATCAGTGAAGACACACCATTTTGAAGTGTATATAATTCTGGTTTTGATTAAAATTCCAGTTATTGCCCTAAGTCCTCCAGTTTAGACTTTGAATTTCGAGACCGGCATCCATTTTCAAAAATAAAAGCCTGAATATGTAAGGTACATTTGAAATGCTTTCTTCTTCCCAAAATTCTCAACTCAAAGGGCTTTCATCCGCTAAACGTTTAGAGACTATCTAGTCTGGTTTTGTCTTTATAGAAATGGAAGAACTGTCAGAGGCACATAGAGACCCAGTGGTGTTAACGTCACACTTGTGTTTAGGGAAACAAGGAGACCTAGACCCATTCTGGACTTTCTGTCTGATGTTCTTCCAGGCTCTGGTCTCAACCTGTACACATTCCCATCATGATTTATAATCCTATGTCACTTCCTCTTAACTATGTCCTCTGTGTTATAGTAGCTATTTCCTTTCCACATTAAGCCTTCATGTCTCTTCCTTCCTTACTGTCATGGTTCTGTGACAGAAACTATTGCAACAGCGCATGGTCAATAGGTGCAGATATGAATTATCTTAGTCGCCCTTCCATTACTTAACAAGTACTTGAGAAAATAAACTCACAAAGAGACAAGGTTTATTTTGACTCACTGCTCTGTAAGTTTTGTGGTAGTTTGAATGAGAATGGTCCTCCGTAGGCTCCAGTTGTTTGAACATTTTGTCCTCAATTGGTGGAGCTATTTGGGGAGGTTTAGGAGGTGAGGTCATACTGGAGGAAGCACATTAGTGAGGGCAGGCTTTTAGAGTTCATAGCCATGACCCATTTCTAGTTCTGTTCTCTCTGCTTCCTGTGTCTGCTTGAAGATGCTGTCGGATTTCTGCTCTGGTCACCTACCCACAATGAAGTCTTAGCCCTCTGGAACTGTAAGCCAGATAAACTCTTCCTTCTATAAAGTGGCCTTGGTCATGGTATTTTATCACAGCAACAGAAAGTCACTAATACAGGTGTCAGTTATGTTATGCTGGCCTCGTTGCTTCTATGCCTGTGACAGGGCAATAAATATTTCAGAGTGGGAGCCCCAAACAAAGCAGAACCACCCATCCCTTGGCTAGGAAGCCAAGGGGACAGAGTAGAGTCCCATAATCTACTTCAGCAGTTCTCCAGTGAGCTGAAGATCTCCCATTAGGTATCTCCTCCTAAAGGCTCTACCACCTTCTACTGGCAACTAGCTACCCTGGGGAGCACACCTTCACCCCCATGGATTTCCAGAGACCATTATAAGGTCTAGATTATAGTCAGTGGGGAGGGCTGGAAAGGTCATTGAAGCTAAGCATCCCATCCCTGGACTCTGACAGCACTGTCCCCACAGCATTTGTTTGCAGTGTTTTATGAATGTGTATTTGTGTATCTCTTACTTGAATTCTGAATTCCTTGTGATTAGAAACTATGTCTTATTAGTCACTGTGCCTTGGGGCCTGCCATAGTCTGTATCTAGGAAATGTTTTCACTAATTAACAAATGAACTCTCATCTTCTTAATCTTGTATCTGTATGAATCTGTGCTACCTACCTCAGTGTCTGCTTCTTACTTGAAGCAGTTCTGCAGTAATGTTTTTGATCCAGTATAATTTCAACTTCCTTTTAACATTATTACACAAATAGTCATCTCTGCCTCCAGTGTTTATTCAGCTTGTGGCTTGTTTTTTAGAATCCATAATTTGTACAGTGGGAAATAATGCGACCTTTGACCGTGCCCATTTTAGAACTTACTTTTCTCATTGCTGTGACCAAATACCTGACCAGAGCTTAAAGGAAGGAAGACTCATTTGGGTTCTCAATTTGGGGGTATACATTGAGAAGAGGACATCATTGCAGAGAAGGCATGGTGGCAGGAGCATGAGGCAGCTGGTCACACTGAGTCCACAGTCAGGAGGCAGAGGGATGTGATGATGCTCAGCTGGCTTTGTGCTTTTCCCCTTTTTTCAGTAGTGGACCCCAGCCCATGGGGCGGTGCTGCCCACATTCACCATGGGTCTTCTCTCCTCTGTTAAGCCTCTCTGGAAACGTCCTTACAGACACACACAGACACGTATTTCATCAGTGCCCTGGGTGTTTCTTAATGCAGTCAGGTTGACAGTGAAGAGCCAGCACAGCACCAGTTGTTTTCAGTTCACACGCAATTGTATCCGTCACTCTGGGTGCGGTACCAGAGCTAATATCCTTATACTTCTGAATCCACATAGTCCTTGTGCAATTAATTCTTTAAACCCACTATAGTAATCGAAGTTCTCAGGAAAATAGCATTAACTAAGTGTGTGTATAAGGGGGGTGGGGAGTGAATTAGAAGGAATTGGTAACATGATTATAAAGCCTGACAAGTCCAGAGTCCAGGATCTCCACAGCCACCTGGAGACTCAAACAGCTAACCATGGAGGTCCAGTGTCAAGGCAGTCTGCTGGAAGATTCTCTTTTGCTTAGTGGAAACCTGTCTTGTGGTTTTCAGGCTTTCTACCAATTGGTTGAGATTCAACCCAAATAAGGACAATATACTGTCTGCTTTACTCAAAGTCCACTGATTTGTACATATAATCTTATAAAAAACATCACAATAACATAATACTGACCAAATATCTGGGCACCTCTAGGCCTTGCCAAGTTGACACACGGAATAAACCATTGACCCATTATTACTGTTTGGCATATGGTACAGTGACTAGATATAATTTCTTTTTTTCTTTTTTTTCTGTATTAATAAGTAATCAGTATTCCATACTGTGTATTAAGTAGCCTTCTTTCTCTTTGACCTTCAGGCTTACTGTAGGATCAAGCAGATAAGTAATCAGTATTCCATACTGTGTATTAAGTAGCCTTCTTTCTCTTTGACCTTCAGGCTTACTGTAGGATCAAGCAGATAAGTAATCAGTATTCCATACTGTGTATTAAGTAGCCTTCTTTCTCTTTGACCTTCAGGCTTACTGTAGGATCAAGCAGATAAGTAATCAGTATTCCATACTGTGTATTAAGTAGCCTTCTTTCTCTTTGACCTTCAGGAGACCAGGCTGGCCTTGAACTCACAGAGATCCGCCTGCCTCTGCCTCCCAAGTGATGGGATTAAAGGTGTGTGCCACCACCCCCGGTGCTCCATTATATTTTTAAGAGTGTTGTATATCAAGCCTACATGAGGTAAGCCCTGTATCATGGAACTTCATGCTCAAAACCTCACGTGTATTTTAGAAATAGCTTTATAGGATTCTAGAGAGTCTCTCTGAAATTTCTGTTCAAATGGCATTGCCTCTATAGATCATGTGAGGAGATTGAAGCTTTTATCTAGAGACATTATATATCTCTTCATTGACGGGTCATTTTGAAAGTACTTTGGGGGAAAGTTATTGTTTATTTCATAAAGATCTTATAGATGTTTTTATACATTTGTTCTTTTGTTCCTTATAACAGATTATTTCTGTTTTTCTATGTTACTTTTATATGTAACCTTCCTAAATTTTCTTAATTGTACTAACTTACCTAGCAAATCTATGGGGCGTTCTGTGTTGCCAGTCATATCTGGAAATGAGAATTTGTTTCTTCTTTCTAACCTGTATGTTTTTCCTTGGCACCGACCAGGTCTTCCTAGTCGCAGTACAATGTTGGGTGGGGGTGGTGACTGCAGCATCCTCTTATTCCTGATCCTAAAGGTGGTGGTTCGAACAGCTCAGCACTTAAGTGTCCTGTCTCCCATCCACTTTCAGTGAGGTTGAAGGGGTTGCAGTCTATTCTTAGTTTGTCAAGTTAGCATATAAACAGATAACAGAATTTTCATCTTTTGAGATGATAATTTCATTTTTCTGAGATTGTAAATGTGGGCTGGAGAGATGGCTCAGTGGTTAAGATCACTGGCTGCTCTCTTGTGGATGACCCAGGTTCAATTCCCAGCATCCATGTGGCAGCTAACAACCATCCATAACCCCAGCTTCATGGGATCTGATGCCCTCTTCTGGCCTCCATGGGCACCAAGTGTGCACATGGTACATGTACATAAATGCAGGTAAAACACTTGTACACATAAAATATAAATAAATAAATTTTTTTCCAAATAAAAAAATTTATTGAGAATTTCATACATGCATATAAGGTGTTTTGATCAAATCCAGGCCCACTCCCTCCCCTCCAATTCCTCCCATATCTCCCCATCACTTTTTTTCTGACAACTTCATGTACTCTTTCTTTTGGGGGGAGTACTTTTTGCTACTCTCATATTACCCCCTCTGGAGAGGTAACCCTAAAATCTTTTAGGGTTAAAGGTTCCAAAATACTTTTTGACATTTTTGGCCTTTGGAACAGATTATGTTGCAAAGAGGCCCGAAGACATTTTGACTTTTAGCCAAGAAACTGGCTACTTTTCTTTGGGGTCTTCTTGCCCTAACTGCCTGGCCAATTCCTACCTCCTATTCTTATTACACCATTCTCTAAAGAGGTTACCCAAATTGCCAATAGGGAATCAGGACCAGACCACTCTGGCTTCTTCCATACTGAATAGGGACGCAGGGTGAGGCAATTGGGGTACCCCTTCAGTGGGTCTTTCTAAAAGACTCCCAAATTGCATAACTCATCTGTAGGGTGAAAAGAAAATCCTTGACTGGTGAATAAGAGATGTGAAGAAGTAAGGCAAGAATAGTTAGCATTACAAGTTCTAGATGGGGAACCGGAAAACAGTCAGAACTGGGCAAATTTCAAATGTTCATATCAGAGTCCATTGGAATTTCTTGATGAGAGCTTCCAAAAGCATCCCTCTGTTAGGTTCCTCCTCATTTTTCTTTTGTCTGCCAAGGCTGGACTCGAGGGTGATGGACTCGGGATTTGTTTTCAGGCACTTTGATAGCTGTTGGAGTGGTTAGAATCAGTGTCAGTTCCCTCTCAAAGGCTTCTAGATAGGGGGAGAAAACAAATTTATCCATCATTTTAGAGCAATAGCGGGTTGTCTCCCTTAGCTGCAGGTGGGCACTACAGTATTGCAGACCAAGATTTGAAGTCTTACATCTGAGCAGCACTTTCTACAATATAAATAAATAAATTTTAAAAAAGAAGTAGAGGAATTTTTCTTTAAAGATTGTAAATGTTGGGCTTGGAGAAATGGCTCAGCAGTAAGAGCACTGGCTGCTCTTGCAGAGGACCCAGGTTCAGTTCCTAGCACCCACATGGCAGCTGACAACTATCCATAACTCCACTTCCAGGGGATTTGATGCCCTCTTCTGGCCCCTGTTGGTATATAAATGTTACTTAATTATTACTTTCAAGGACTCTTAACATTCCTAGAACAAGCCCAAATTAAGTATATGTATTGTTTTATGAATAACTGAATTTTACTAATCGTTTTGCTTATGTTTTGAGTCAGGTTTTTAAATCTATATAAGTAAGATGTGAGCCATACAAATTCTTTAAATTAGGGAAGATTCTTTTTTTTCTTTTTTTTCCTCTACTATATAAGGGTGTAAACTTTCCAGTAATTGGTTTATTCAGAGTTGAGTAGAACTTACCTATAAATCTATCTGGGCCTGTTGCTATAGGGAGCATAAATGTTTTTCAACTAAAATTCATTTGACCTAGAATCAGGTTTGTGTCCCCAAATGCCCTTTGGTGTAGGTTCATCCACTGGAGCCTGGTCATCCTGCCAAGAGTCTCACTGACTCTTCCCCATCACAGCAGCCATCAGTTACCAATACTTCCTCAGGTAGGACTAGGATTTCTTATCCACTTCCCCATGTCTGTGCTGGGATTTTGTCCAGCTTGACATTACATGGGACTTGTGCATGCTGTGACCATTGCTGTAAGTTCATATGAATAACTGACCACCTATCTGGAAACCTTGTGGTCATCCATCTCCTCTGGTTCTTACAATCTTTGCACCTCCCTCTTCTACAATGATCCCTGAGCCTTGGGAGGCAGAAGTTTGATACAGGTGTCCTGTTCAGGGATGAGCACTTCGCAGCCTCTTATTCTCTGCACGTTGGCCAGTTGTGGTTCTCTGTGTTAATCACCATCTGCTGCGTATGGAAGCTTCTGTGCTGAGAGTTGAGGGATGCAGTAATCAAGGCAGGGCAGGGAAAGCTCCCAGAGGCATGCAAGGCCCTGGTAGAGCTGAGATGTTGACGGAGGAGTGCAGGGAGGTGTGTCTCTCTACTTTTTGACTGTGGATACGGTGTGATCAGTTGTTTGAAGCACCTGTGCCTTGACTTCCTCGCTATGATGAGCTGCACCCTTGAACTGTGAACCAGAAGAAACCCTTTCTCCTTTAAGTTGATTTTCGCAGGGTATTTTTTCTTTATGTGATAAGAAACTAAGACACTCACTTATTTACTGTTCTTCTAGCTTTTGCCTAATTTTTAAATTGGATTCTACAGGACTTTACATGTGTCCAGGCATACAGACTCAGTAATATCTAATGTTTTTCTTTAGTGTTTTAGTTCCAGTAGAGATTCCCTTAGTGTCTCAGTCTACACCGTTTCTTAAAATCCTTTATGCTGTTCCTGTACACTGTCAGAACACTTCTACCAAGTAGGTTGCTTCTTTCAGAAGAATCTCTCATGGTTTCAGGCCTCTTTCACCAAGAGGAGAGAGTGATCAACTCTGAGGTGAATCAAAGCGTGGTATAGTGCGTCTCAAAAACCCCAGTCACAATCTATAGACAAAGGCAGTGAGGAACTGTGGCGGGGTGCTAAGGTAGGATTTGATCTCAGAACTGTCAGTCAAGTCTCCTTTCTGCCTCTTATTTGCTGTGCATCTTTGTTTCCTCCACTTTACACTCCACTGCCAGCCCCATAAGGTGTGGTGAGAAACTAGACCAAAAAAGAAAATATAATAGCAATTACTTTAAAATGAACTGTTACAGAACTGATTTAACTTAACGATGTACTCTGGATAAATTAAGTATGAAGCAATCTTAGTTCCGTTTTATTTTATGATAATGAGCAACAGTATGAAAATTGTCAACATGGGCTCAAGTTACAGTCACTCCCAGAGATCCTGATTTCATGGAAGCGGGACAGGCAACAATGGTTTTTCCACAGCATCCCACAAGAGTGTCTACCCAACACTACCAGCTGCTGGTTTAACAGGAGGCTTGCCTCCCCAAAAGGGAACTTTGTCAATTAGATTAAGTATTTTTTATGGGATGATTCTTAGTTTTTGTCTCTTCTTATTTCAGGTAACTGCTGGGGTTCCTCTCAAGAAAGAATATACAGAAGAGGTAAGAAGAACTAATCAGTCTAGCCGACCATCAGTGCATGTGCTGTCTACAAGTAGCCCCTTAGGAATGAGTATTTCTAGACTGGGAATACGGCTTAGTGGGTAAAGTGCTTGCCTTGAAAACACAAGGAACTGAATTCAGTCATCAGCACTCACATTAAAAAATGTCATTGGGGCACTGGCCAGCCAGCCTACTTGGTAAGCTCCTGGCCTACCCACCCAAAAAAAGGCAGGTACACAGCATCTGAGGAGCAACACCCAAGGTGACATGTTCTCTGGCCTGCACATACCCACATGCAAACACACACACACACACACACACACACACACACACACAGGGGGGCGGGGAGAAAGAGAGGAGTGATTCTCTTAAGAATCCATGTAAAAAAATGAGTGGAATAAAGTGATGAAAACATTCAATTAAATCTTAAATCTCAAGAAAAAATAAATCAATTTATATACTGTTTCTCTGTTTCTGCGACAGCCATCCAGGCCATCAGAACTCAGGGTCTCTAGCACAGAAATAAAAATGAAGCTTGTACCCATGCCTTCTTTTGTTATAGGAGGTGAAAAAAAAAAAAAAACACCTGACTCAGAAAATACACGGTTGGGTTTGGGGCTTACAGGAATGCAGTAATTCTGTAGATTGGTTGATTTACTGTTGACAGTACCTCTCAGCTCCTACAGGTGGCACCATGGATTTAAGATGGAATAGCTATTGAGGGTTCCTCAGCATCTCAAGGACTTATGCCTTTTGTCCCCCAGGCTGTAGGGAGTAGGTGTACTGCTTACGTTCTGGTGACTGGTCCTTCACAGAGATAGTTGCCTGTCTCAAAACCCAAACGTGTATCATTTCCTCCAGAGTAGTTTTAGAACTTCATTTGAACACGAACCACCTCCTTCTCCAGCCACCTTGCTTGGAAGCAAAAGGTGACTTAGGGTCATCTTTATAAGATTCTAGGACAATAAAGTAAGAAAAGATAGAAGCAAAAATTGCCAGTGTGGTGAGGCCAGTGTGAGTAGGTGGTTTGGTGGTAAGCATGACACGATGACACAGAATCTGGTTTCTTCCCAGAACATCCAGCTGGTAGCTGACGGCTGCTGTAACCTACAGAAACAAATTCAGATTGCTCAGCTCTTCGGAGTGCCTGTTGTGGTGGCGTTAAATGTCTTCAAGTGAGTAAAGCTCCTGCTGTCTATGGGGCCACCCTGGGGACCACATCTGTGTCCCAAGGATGCTCAGTCTTACTCAGCTTCACCCGAGAGAAACAGAATCACACAGTTCTTAATATTTGTTGGTTTGGTTTGGTTTCATTTCTACAAATGTGTTCTTAAATGTTATTGGGGCAATGAAACTTACAGAGTAAATTATCATCCCTGTTTTTCACTTCACCTAGTGTTTATGTCTGAAAGACTGAATGAATGATCAAAGGGAGATATGGAATTGTCTCGATTAAAAACCCTCAATGACTTAAAATATTTGAGTCGTGTTGGAGAGGATTCTTTCTCTATGCTTTTCTTCAAGTCTGATTTATTTAAACATGATGTGACCACTTTGATGTTTAAAATATATTCAGTGTTAGGGAGTGAAGTTCTGTATAAACGGGTAGGTTTTCTTTAAAAACATCACTAAGTGAATACAGATGCAGAAACCACAAACATTTTCATCATCAGGACAGACACCCGCGCGGAGATTGACTTGGTGTGCGAGCTCGCCAAGCGGGCTGGTGCCTTTGATGCGGTCCCCTGCTATCACTGGTCAGTTGGAGGAAAAGGGTCTGTGGACTTGGCTCGGGCTGTGAGAGAAGCCGCACACAAAAGAAGCCGCTTCCAGTTCCTGTACGATGTTCAGGTAAGTTGTAACCACCTTAACAACCGTAGGAAAGGTGGCTCCTACATCTTGCCAAAGGCCAGTGCTGAGAGCGTTTGTTACTTGGGTCATTCCACTTAGCTTTCATGATGACTCTGCAAGAAGGAAGCTCAAGATCAAAGACACTGAGCCATCCGACATGGTCCATGTCCCATGGGCAGATCCAGTCTCTGCACCAAGCCTGTGCTCTTAAGGTCTGCTCCCAAATAGCCAGCCCAAGGGAAGGGGTGCCCTGGACAGCAAGGGTGCAAAGCTAATCCTTGCAGGGACTGACTGCCCAACAAGACTTGAGCAATTTCACAATTCCTCAATTACGAGGCATTTTCCTTATTGATCTGCTGTGGTTCTTTCCTTGTTGTGGTTTTGTGAATATTTTATTTATTTATTATGTATTTGTATGTATGATATGTGTAGACACACAAGTGTCATAGTATGTGTTTGGAAGTAAGGGGTCAACTTGCAGGAGTCAGTTCTCTCCTTCCACCATGTGGGTTCCTGGAATCCAACGCAGGGAGCACTCAGTAGCTCCCTTACCTGCTAAGACATCTCACCAGCTCTCGCTGGGGTTTTCTTGAACTGTCTTGCATATTTTTTTTTCCTTTCAGTAAAGTGCATATAACATTTACCTTTGTGTATTTTGCCTGCATGTAAGTGCACCCATGCGTGCAATGCCCCACAGAGGCATTAGTCCCCTAGAACTGGGTTTTCTGGCTGGTTGGTCTGTAGGTATGTCATGTGCATTCAATGCCCAGCGTCCAGAAAAGGACATTGGATGCCATGGAACTAGAGTTACAGATGGTCGTTAGCCACCATATGAGTCTGGGAACTGAACCCAGGTCCTCTAAGAGCAGTATGTGCTCTTAACCACTGAGCCACCTCTCGAGCCCATTTTTTTGTTTCTTATTCTGTGTTTTGGTTTTTTGAAACAAGCTCACATATAAATCAGGCTGTTCTTAAATTTACTATGTAGCTGAGGATAGCCTTGAGTTCCTAATCCCTCCTTCCTTTACCTCCTGGGTGTTATATATAACCATACTATATTTTTACCATATCCAGCCATACTGCATTTTTAACACACCTGGATGCTAAGCCTTCTGTATAAAATCAACATTTCCCAGGATTCAGTCTTGTCCTCAGAAGTTGTCCTGACGTCCACTTCCATCTCCATTCTGTATTTTGTGGCTCCTGATCTGGTCAGTGGGTTTGTCCTCAGAGGATGCCCATGGCTGCCAGGGTGCTCAGCCTTCAAACTGATAGTTGTTCCTCCTGTCTCTTCTTCCTTCATACATTCCACAGGCCTGTCTCACAGAGGTTACAAATGGTAGCATCACTCCTCTTTCCTGCTCATATGAGTCAGTATTGTAAGCTAAAGGGAGAAAAAGCGAAGGAGGAGAGGGCTTGGTAGCACCTGTAAGCTTAGAGATGCCTCAGCAAGAGTGCCCGGTTAGGAGAGCTGTTGGCATGCCACCCACACTGGGCACTTTGCATATGTCCACCTCTTTAGTCTTTACATTCCCATTGGGCAAAAACATGCTACCCTGTTCTGTAGTTAAAAATCTGAAGCACAGGGATGAAATGACATACCCAGTGTCCTAGAGCTGGGAGTTCAGTTAGGACAGTAGATCACATACAGTTCTGTTCTTCAACATCAACTGTTCGGAAGTATGTCTGTGGGAGGGAAGGAGACATGCTGCACGAAGAGATGGTGACTGTGTCATTCATCTTAGCAAGGTGACAGAAATGGGACAGTCACAGAATCCCTGCCAGATGAGGGGCATCATCAGCACTCAGGGGTCTGTGGAAAGAAAGACTTAAGGAATGAATTGTGAGGGTTAGTACAGATAGGTTTGTCCTATGAATAGGCTATTTGTTGGATGAGAGACTAGAATATTCTGGGTTACAGGGCTGGTCAAGATCAATAGAGGGAAGAGACTTAGGGTCAGCATAAAAGTGTTTTTGTTGAAAGCTGGGAATACACTGGGCATTTGGAGATGTCCAGTGTAAAATAGATGTAGCCATATGGTGGATATGGCAGAGGGGCCAATGCCCTGTGACTCTAACCTTCCTATTCCTTGATGTGAGGAAGGCTCGCCAGTATGTCTACAATGTCTGGCACAGCCCTGTCCATTCTGTGCAAACCACTGTTAATGCAGGCAAAATGGTGTATGCCTGTAATCCTTGCACTGTGAAGGCTGAGGCAGGTGCATGTCTGAGCTCCAGGCCAGCCTGAGCTATATAATAGAAAGACACTGTCTCAGATACAAACAATAAACCTCTCATATCTGCCATGAGTGCCTTGGGCTATTGTAGTCACATCCCAAAATTTCCACCTAGGTAGCAATGGTGATTTTCTAATGAGTGATTTCATGAAGTGGGGTTCTATCCAAGGAAAGATCCCAAGGAAACCAAGGTTGGTAACAGAGTTTCAGAAGAAGCTGGTATCATGGTGTATACCTGTAATCCTAGCACTCAGAAGTGGGAGGCAGGAGGATCAGGGGTTCAGAGTCATCCTCCACTACTTGATGAGTTCCAAGTGTGTCAGGGCTACATGAGACCCTGTCTCAAGAAAACAAAACTTTAGTTTTGAAAAGTTTCTGACTTGCCCTAACTCTCAGAGGAGCACTTCTTTTCGTGATTCATTTATATTTTGTTTATTTTTCTGAATTCTTATTTCTTCCTCTTTATTTTTATGTATGTAAGTGTTTTGCCTACATGTGTGTAAGTGCACCATACACATGCAGTGCCTGTGGAGGCCAGAAGAGGGCTTTGGATTTCCTGGAACTGAAATTACAGTTACACCATATGGGCACAGGAACCAAACGCAGGTCCTCTACAAGAGCAGCCAGTGTTCTTAACCATTGAGCCATCTCTCCAGCCCCATCCTATTCATTCCTTAATCGTCATATGTTGGCAAATTAGAGATTTGTTTGTTTGTTCATTCATTTATTTGTTTTGAGACAGTGTTTCACTAGTCTCACTCTGCAGCCCTGGAATTCAGAGATCCACTTGCCTCTGCCTAAAGTCCTGTGATTAGGCCACTCCTAGCCAAGGCTGTGATTTCTAAGTATAATGTGAAATCACTAAATCAAGTTATATAACCAGTCTATCACCTCAATTCTTTTGCTTAGTGGTAAGAACATTTGAGATTTACTTTTAGTGATGCTAAGATACCACTTTTTAGCTTTACGCACCATGTCAAAAAAATTTAAAAAGCAAAAGCAAAAGCCTGCTATCCGGGGCATTGTACCTTTTACCACCTAAATTCCCATTCTTCTTGAAGATGATGCTGCTAACATGGATAAAAGGGGAAATGTGTAATAATATGATCTGATATCCTGTATTTGACAGGTGGCCTTGAGGCCAGGATTCCTGCCTCCTTTGCCAGTACCCTCTCCCTTTCCTATGTCACAGGTGTTGAATTTGAGCAGCGTGGCTGTGTTGGGAAAACAGTATCTTTGCCTCTAACAGCAGGGCATCAACTTAAACATTCACACACATGCACACACATGAGAATACACATACACAGATGAACATACCACAGACACATAAACATGCAAAAAAACACACTGTCCTAATTTCTCATAAGAAGTTTTCACATGACAATTAATATATTTTTGATTAATTAAGCAAATGGTTTATTTATAATAATTATTCTAAAGGCTCTACGTATCATTCTAAATGATCATCATGATACAGTATAAAGATAACATGAACAATGGCAGGTATTCACAGTCTACAGTGTGAGCAATTACTCTCTACAAAAATCTTTGTTTTTTAATTATTTATTTAATAACCATATAATTAGAGGAAGCATTTCATTACAACAGCATTGACATACTCAATAACAATTTCCAGAGCTAAGATGCATCTCTTTCAAAATTGCCTATAAATTTTTAGGTTTACAGTTGACTTGATAGAGTTATACGATATTGTACTCCGTATAAACCCTATAAGACATAAAATTAAATGAGGTTTTAAACTTTAAAAAAGATCTCCATTTCATTATTAAAATACAGTTTTATACAGAAAAATTCATTTTTAATACAATTGACACTAAGATGCACATGTGTTTCTAATCTCTATATATCTGATTATTACTAGTCTCAGTCTGATTATTACTAGGGTACTTTCTGAGCTCCTTGGCATTTGAGCATGGATATAAAGTCATCAGGTAGATTTCAGTGGTAATGTTTGTCACGTCTACTAATTAAGGAGCAAATTTTTATTCTTTGAAGAATTTTTTTTTTTTTATTTATACACCCACTTCCCAGGTAGCACCTTCCCATAGCCTCCCTCCCCTCACTAGAGCCCTTATACTCTGATATCCCTGCTACTGTCTGCTCTATTGTTGGCACCCCCAACCATTCCCCACTACTTATCCATCTGGTGAATCTAGTCAGCCTATCTAGAGGTCTTTGTTTTAGGAGGCTCAGCTGTTCCTCATCTAGCAGTAATCAGTTGTCAGTATTCCTTTGGATAAGATTGGGGTCTGCTGTTCAATTTCCCAATTCTATGCTGGGTTACTATCTGGGAATCCCTTTGGCCACCCTGGCCAACAACTCAAAAGAAGGTATCACCTGTAGGAGCTCAAGAGAGGTAGGACCATAGGAGACGGGTATTATTAAGGGAGAAAGGGGGGAAATGGGGGCACCTTGAGTGGGAAAACATGATGGAGGAGTGAGACAATGTAAGAGATAAACAATGCCTAGCTAGTTTTGAAAACCAGAGAGAACCATATTACTCCTACAACCTACT